ATATTGGTTTTACAATAATGGTGAGAAATCAACACCAAAACAATTGGTGTGTATCTTATATATAATGATGTATTATATATGCACTCATTTATTTACTTATACTCTAAATATTCCAACTATCTGTTACAATTTCTTACTTATATCCTACATATTCCAATTATATACTACATAAAAAATTAAAAAAAAAAAAAAAAAAAAAAAAAAATCTTAGATCTAACAAAGAATAACTAAATATATCATTGTCTTTGGCAATAAGTTTGACTTTGTGATAATTTTGTTTGTTATGCTACAAAAGTAATGACAAACAATAAACTATATGTGAACTTTTACCACAAAAGCTTAGCCAATTTGTAAATGGACAATTGAAGAAACAACAAAGAAAAAATAAAAATATACTTATCTGAATCATTAAATATAATACATCTATTTGAAATTTTATTATGCAACCTTTCACAACCAAATGTAATACATTGGCCTTCAAGTTGAATATAATAATAATATATGAAACATACAATCTTTCAAATTTAAATGAATATAATAAAAATAAAATTAAGATCTTTGATATATATATATATATATATATATATATATATAACTTCACGGATATTATTCTAGAAGAATTCAAAAAATAAAAACTCTACTACAGCTCATCCTAGTATTTGCACAAATTGTTCTTTGTTGTTTTACATGTGTTTTTGCTTGAGAAAGTACCAAACATCTAGTTGTGGAAGGTAAGTAGAAATGTAACAACAATCCTACCAAGTATAATAGAATTTTAATAAAATTAAAGTAATCTTTAATAATCCTAATCAAACTTTAATCAATCCAAAATAAATTTAAAAGAAGTTACAAAAAAATACAAAGAAGTCATAAATTAATCTCAAAAAAATATTACTAAAAAACTCTTAAAGAAATATAAAAATAAACCTTTAAAGAAATAAAAATAATCTTAAAGAAATACTAGAAATAAAAACCTTTAACAAAAATAAAAATTATTTTAAAAATTTAAAAATATAAGCTATATGTAAATCCTAAATAAATTCTAATTAAATCTTAATAAATCTTAACCAAATTCTAAATCAAATCCTAATGAAATTCTAATGAAATCTTAAATTTTTAATAAATCCTAAATAAATCTTAAAAAAATCTTAGATTCTAAACCGATCCTAATCAATCTTTAATTAAATTCTAAATCTTAAAGAAATCTTAATAAATCCTATTGTTGCTAAAAAATTCAATAATTAGTGATTGAACTATTCATTTTTATTCAAAATTTTTACACCTTGTAACAACTAAGTTAGCAACAAGTACAAAAATTTTTGAAGAAGATTAAATATACCAAATAGATAATAATTCCAAAAATCTACTTGGATGTTGGCTAACCTCCTTCTATAACCTTAATGTTGATATCTCCAAGCTACAATCTCTTAATTTCACCATTCAATTTACTCCAATTTTTTCAATTGCTAAAAATCAAGCTAGCTATCTTTAAAAAAAATTGTATTTCAAACTAACTAGTGGATTGAAAGATATCTTAGAGATCTTCACTAGTCTTCTAAATCCCAATTTTTAAGACCATAATCTACAAAAATCCTTACATGCTTCAATGTAATCGCTTGATTGAGTTTAAATTTCTCACATTTATAACAAGTACAACAACAAACTTTTTTAATTTTTATCCATAAAAATACTACAAAACTCACAAAATCCTAAAAATAATATAAACTTGTTTTCATTTTTCAAAATCCAAATCCACCAAGTATATCACTTATTTTGAAAATTTCTCAAAATCTTGATATTAATTCAAATGACATAAAATTAATATTTAAAATTCTCTCTTCAAGTTTTCTTTCAAATTATATTCTCTATTTTACAAAAGAACCTTGGAGTTGCTGTAGGTGCATGGTTTTATATCTTGGAATTTGATTTCGACCCAGGTTGACAACTAGTCCTCTTTGGATATCAATTTTTGGTAATTTGAGGTAATTTTTTCTTTAACCTATTGTCAACTCTCTTCTAAATATGCTTATATTAATTTCCTCTCATTTACTTTGATTTGGCTTATTTATGTCTCTACAAAGTAAATAGAAGTTCTTTCTACAAAAGGCAGCATTAAGACTAATTTTTTTACTATCTTTCTATCATTTATTTTTATTTTTTTACATCTTTCTACCAGGCTCTTTTATAATAACATCCATATTTTTATTTATCATTATGTAGTTGTGTTACTACATGACATTGCATGCATATGAAAAGCATGCACATATATCAACATAATAGCACAAATATTAATGAAAAAATATCAAATAATAGTAGGTAGCTTATTCTAAAAGCTTCCTCTAATGAAGTATGCGCATGTATAAGTATAATTTCTATTTCACACATGTATCAACTGAACTAATAATATGAAGAATATCAATTGAATTTTTGGATGAAGAGAAACTTTAGCAAAACAGATCTATACAATTTGAAAAAAGAAAAGAAAAGAAAAAAAAAATCAAAATTTAAGAATAATGTGTTCATGCTGTCAAATTTGCAATTCACAACATTGATGTTGCTGAGATGCATTGGCATTGAATCAAAGTTTACACTTTTTTTTAGAAGCTATTATTTAAGATTTATAAATTAGTATCATTTATTAGGTACATTGCTTAAGTAATAAACATAACTACATTCGCAGCAAACCACACCCTACTTCAAAAAAGAGAAAGATACAAAACAATAACAAAATAAGATATACAAAGAACTACCTACAAGATTTGAGCTTTGAGAAACTGCTGAAGACAGGCTACGACAAATAAAAAGCAAATCACAATGTCTGATTTCACATCTAAAAGCTTTGATGTAATTTCTTCAATGTTAATAGCATTCGAAAAAATCAATAAAGTCAATGTTCTCTAAGTTTGTTTTTGAAAAATCAATGTTGTTCTTATCCTCGTCCTTATAAAACTGCACGTTTTTCAAAAGCAATATGTCGCTCTCATGTTATTTTTTCTACATTCATCGCTAATCTCATCAATTTATACCATTCCAACTGGACGTTTATTTTCTTGCCTTCTCGCACAAATAAGTCTCTGATCATCTAATTAATAGCCTTATCTCAGTTGTCATGCATCTAATGATGTTAATTTCAAGAATTTAGGATAATAACCAAAAATCCGCCTCAGAAACGACAGTGTGCATTGCAAGCGCCCACTTGAATATACTCCATTCAATGTGCTTGTTCGTAATAGCAGCAGATGCGGCAGTCAGGAGTCAAATGGATGATATAAATGAAACAAACTAGGGGTAATGATTGTGTATTTAACAACAATGTTGTATCTGTACCAAAAAACACAAAATTTTAGTTAGATCAAATCTACTCAATAATTTTTTAAGTACCCATTATTTCCAAAAGACACAAACAAAAACAAAATTAAAAATAAAATCATGAAAAATCCTACCTACAAGAAATCCTACCCCATACGCTACAAGCCTTTGAGCTTCAAGAAACGACTCCTTACTCTTTTTGTTACTCCAATCAACCAAGAATTTCAACTTTTGTTTGCTAAATCTCCTTGTTAATAATGTAGTTTCTTCTTCACCAGATCTGAAATAAACTTTGCCCACAGTGCATCACATAAGTATCCATCTGCTATGCATTGTGTTGTAGTGCTCTTTGTTTGCACTGGTATTAGATGCTGCAGCCTCTTCAACTAACATACAAAATCACAACCACACCTGGAGTGGCAGATCACAACTTTTGTCAACATATGCTTTGCACATGAAATAACTGTCACTTCCAAAATGACTCCAAAATGCTCAAGGTAGCTACATATAATGTCTCGCACTTTAATTAGGTTGCATGCAATCTTGGAGGACAATCCTGGCCGGCAAAGAAACCTTTTTTCAAATCCTAACTCCAATAACCCTAAATACTTTGTATTTTCTAAGTTCTTAGAATTCTCTCTCAACAACCAATCAAATTATATTTTTGTATCTTTATCTTATACCCAAACTGATTTTTTTTTATATATATATATATATATTAAGACTCATTTATTTTTATTACTTTCATTTCATTAAATTCTTAATTTAAAAATTATTATTACTACCAACAATATAACATAATTATTTGAATGTTGATACCTAATTTTTTATACCCAATTTTTAATTTTCTATATTCCTATCTACCACCAAAATTCATTTTATAGAATAGTTGTATATAGCCAACAACAATGAAAATTAGTATATTGTTGGATTATAAATTTAACTTGATTAAATAAATAAAACCATAGAATCATTTTAAAATAAAATGATTAAACACATGTTTAGTATTTTAATTAAATCTAACATGACTACGTAAAATCCATCTTTGTATAGTATAAAATGGATGTGTAGTATATTTAACAATGAAGTTAAGATTTACTTATATCTAACTAATAACCAATAAATCAAATTCTCTATAAGCAAGATATTAGAACATAGAATACTTGGTTACTTATAGTTGATAAGACCAAATATTTTCTATCAGTTTTCTTACTCCATTCATGTCTTGAATAAATCTAAATATATCATCTAGACTTAAAAGAACCGCATAATATGGTCTCATATATAGTGTATATTTTATTTATTACAATTTTATTCATATACAATTGGATGGATGTCAATTGAATTGGCAATGCTAATATACAAAAATTACATTATAATATTGTTATTTATTTATATATTTATGTTTGATTTTTTGGCAAAGTTGAAAAGAATCAACTATTGTTCTTTTTATCTATTGAAACTACGTATACAACTGCAACTATAACTACAAAAGAACCTTCTTTTTTTGTTTTTTTCACTTCAGTAACCGAGTTACTTCTCCCAGATTCTCAATCTAGTTTTCTATGACAACATGTCATGTATAGCCATGACTAAGAACCCCAATTTTTACAACTGTTCAAAACACAGTGACCACCAACATCATTTTCTAATGCCAAACAGACAAGTGCAAAATCTAATAACAAGGAATATACTCTCAACATGCTCCGCCACGTGGACTGATGTCTTCACAAAAATTAGAACATCAAACTTGTTTTTTTTTTTAAGACGATTGATGATACCGATTCTATTCATTCAAATCGTCAGAGGACAAACCGAAGGGTATAGTTATATTTTTCTCATAAGCATAGGGTTTTCTTTGTAGCTCAAGATTTCAGCTATTCTGACGAAGGTGGAGGGAGTGTTAGTATTACAGTGTTAGCATATCCATTCTACTCTCTGTCGGACCCACAACCCAGTAAGTAATCTGGCCCAGGTGCGAAACTAGTTTCTCAATGTGCTAGATAAGCCTTTCTGATTTAAAAAACGTACTCATGAACTGATCTAAACAATGCACAGTCCACGAGCATTTCATCGACAAAGTCAGTCAGTCGCTGGTCTCCAGATTTCCTGTGTGCATGCTTCCAATCGTCCTAAATCGTATCCTGCTGCTGATTGCAAACGGTGGGAAAATGGCATCAGATGCTTGAGGGGGAGATTCGAAGGTTTTCCATTACGACAGGACTGCAGTGTTCCTTGAGTAGCCGCCGTCAATGGCCGGGCCTTCGGGCCGCAAGTCGCCATGCGGGAGGACTAGAATACTCTGAAACTGAGGAGATGAACCAGATGCTTCCGCGCTTCCAGTGGAGCTCGAGTCAGGCGTCGGTTCTTCGTCACGCGACGGATTTGAGGTCGCAATGGCAGGCGCTGTTGGAGTTCGCTTGTGCCCGCAATGGACTCCCGATTTCTGACCCTGGGTATCGCTTGTTGGGAGTTTCTCACTCCCTTGCATGGGAGACCTGCTCTGAGTAGAGGGGTTAGACGCACAAGCCGACGATGGTTGCGCATCCCGGGGGGTGCTGTCAATTGGCGACGATAGTTGTGCATACCCGGGGGTGCTGTCAACTGCCGACGATGGTTGTGCATTCCCTGGGGTGCTGTCAATTGGCGACGATGGTTGTGCATTTCCGGGGGTGCTGTCAATTGGCGACGATAGTTGTGCATTCCCTGGGGTGCTGTCAACTGGCGAAGACGGTTGTGGATTCCCGGGGGTGCGGTCAACTGGCGATGATGGTTGTGCATTCCCGGGGGTGCTCTCAACTGGCGACGATGGTTGTGCATTCCCTGGGGTGCTGTCAACTGACGACGATGGTTGTGCATTCCCGGGGGTGCTGTCAACTGGCGACGATGGTTGTACATTCGCAGGGGTGCTGCCAATTGGCGACGATAGGTTTGCGTTCGCGGGGGTGCTCTCAACTGGCGACGATAGTTGTGCAATTCCAGGGGTGCTATCAATTGGCGACGATGGTTGTGCATTCCCAGGTGTGCTATCAATTGGCGATGATGGATGTGCATTCGCGGGGGTGCTGCCAATTGGCGACGAAGGTTGTGCATTCGCGGGGGTGCTGCCAATTGGTGACGAAGGTTGTGCATTGGCGGGGGTGCTCTCAACAGACGTCGATTTTGCCCAAAGCCCAGTTGTGGACGGAATGATATGGGCGGGAGTGCCATGGGGAATGGCATTGACCGGTGTGACGAATCTTGTGGCGAGAATTCGACCTTCGGCCGCACGGTGAAGTGAGACCATAACACCCAAGAGCAACCAAAAGCTGAGCAATTTGGCGGGCGTTGCAGCAGTTCGCTCCATTGCGATTACCTCCACAAATTTCAGAGATACACAACATGAGCACAAGCTTTCACGGGCTACCTCTGAATTATTTGAAGCGAGGATTACCTAATCAATTAGACAGAAGTGCAGAATTTACACTCACCAGAAGCCAATGAAGGGCCTCGACGCCTAATGATGAGAAAATGAAGAAAGAACGTCCAATGCTACCTCCGCAAATTTCAGAGATTCATAATATGAGCTCGGGCCTACACCAGCTACCATCGAATTATGGAAAGCAAGTGAAATATACAGTTCAACCGACATCGGAAACAATATGGACACGATAAACCGGCCATGTCACCATGGTTGCAACCGTTTGACCAATTACTCATGCACTCGCCACTCTGATGGTGAAAAATGTGATCCAATCGAATGATTTGTGATATACACAGCAAGGACTTAACTTTAATTGAAAAAATGAATGATCCGGAGCTAGACCGGTGTTGCACACTGGCATTTATTTCTACCGTTTGAAGAGAGTACAGGCTGCGAAGCCTCTAGATTTTAAGCAATTCAGGTCGACGCCGTACATCACCTGAGCTGTTCACAAGCGAAGACAGTGACGGAGACCAAATCAGGAGAAAGTAAGTGCAGAATCTGTACTCACCAGAAGCCGATGAAGGGCCTCAGCGACTAGTGAAGAGCAAATGTGGGGAATAGCGTCCAATGCCAGAGCAGTAAGAGCGAAGTGCAGGGACAGAGACGGACCCTGCCAGTTTTATACAGAATTGAAAAACACCCCCCCCCCCCCCCTTCCGTCCATCACAGAGGCGAGAAGGTGCTGTCGAAGAAGGAAAAAGAGGGCAAAATCTTGGGAACCTTAGCCCTTGCCCAGCACTTTCTCCTAGAAATCCATCGACCGAGTGCCGTTACTTTTGTGTTCAAATGTTCTATCCTTCTGTCTAGATGATTCCAAAGGAGTGGATGTATGATTCGTCAAAATTGCCATGATTTGTGCGTAAAGCTTTCACCAATGCACTGGGTGGGATCTTTTTATGTAACAAGAGCAGGACTTGGTCAGCGCATCACACACACCATCGCATGGGACTATTGAAGTGCATCTCAGAGTGAGTCCAGGTTCAGATGTATCTGAAGATGCTGGAATAACCACATGTCATGCTTGAAGATGAAAAGATATGCACTGATACTATTCATGTTGCATGGATTGGAAATGTGGCCCAATCTAGTTGATTTGATACTACTGTTCGGAGATGGTCACATTTATAGATTTATGTGAAGCATAAATCATCTGACATTTAATTGATTGTCTTGGATGTTAAACAGACCCAAGTTTTTACAAAATTGTCCCACCCATCCTAACCATTATAAAAAAAAATAAATTCCCTTTTATATATATATATATATATATATACATAATTTTGTATATATGTATATATTATTCTCATGTGTTCTGCACTTTCTAGTATTTGCATGACAAATCAATTGTACTTATTCAAGAAAAATTCTAACTTACTCACCGTAACTAATTCTGTCGTTGGCTGAGTTTGTTGGAATTTTTATCATGCAATTGACTGAGTAAATGCATGATAAATTGAAAATAGAATTACGATGGTGACACAGTTGGTGGGTGGAATTGGGATTCTGTATCGAAGAAGAATGCACTGAACATGTGATAGGATCTTAAATGTGGATTATATATTGACAAACCCTGTAAACACTTATTTTTATATTAAACATGACTTAAAGAAATTATATGCGGTGAAGGCAGGTAGTTCCTAGAATCATTTCCTCGGAGATGCTTTCCTCCGACCCCATCCAAATGGGCATACCTAATAAAGTTTTTTTTTTTAAATGCACTTTTTCAAGGTCTTCGTTGTATGTGTTCTTGCAGCAATACTGTCACAGCGTTGAGTCGATGGATCAGGACTCCAAATCTAACTGATTATTATTAGTACTTCAACATCCAGGACGGCTACCTCATGGAGTATCCTCCGCAAACAATCCTTGTGACTCAACCCACACTTCATCGATCTCTTGCAGCATTTTTTTCCTTCTTGTGTCATTTCAGTCTAGAAACTACCTGGACCACGGTTCTGAGCAAACCGTCGATGTGGAACCTGCACGTGCATGCATGGAACCTGCAATATCACGTGTATATTACAGCCCTAGTTGTGTTTGAGGCGCTGCAACTTACTTAGCTACTACAGTGTGGTCATTGGCAACTGTTAGCAAAAAACCTCAAATTCTGTGCAGCACGGGAACATTACCCACCAGTGAAGACAACGTAAAACAACAGATGGACACTTCCGTAATCTTCCTTTGAGCTGAAAATTTGTAAATTCTGAAGAACCCAGCACAGGTAGCTTTGAGTAGAGCAGTATTTCTATATAGGAAGCGCTAGTGGCAGTTCGAGTTATTAATAGTTTTGAATGTATATATACATATATATATATATATATATATACGCTCGAACTCTTGAAATGGTTGTCAGGTGATAATATATTTAACCTTTTTAAAATAAAAATATCTGATTTATCTATTTATATTTTGGAAATTGATCCTTGTTAGCATTTGTGTGCTTTATCGTTGTGATTTTATTTCTCTCTAATATCGTATGAAAATTTTTAAATGTAAAAAAATATACTACAAAACGTGTTTTTTATGCTTAAAATAAATAAATAAAATTTGCAGAGTAAAAGCTAAATAATTAATTATATTAATTTTTATATTATTCTCTAATATGATATAGTAAAATAAAAGTAATTTGAATTTATTTATGTTTATATTTAATATTCATTTAGACTTTAAATTAAAAAATCCTTAAGATTTTTGTAAAACCTTATAAAAAAATCAATAGTTTTTATTATATCCACTATTCCATCAATTAGTGCATTTTTTTTTAGAATTTTTGGCATAGCCTTATTGTTATTTCTATTTTTATTACCTGTCTTCATCTTAATGAACATAGATTAAATATCTTAGTCTAAAAATAAAAAATTATCTTTTCCACTCTAAAATCATTATTAAAGAAAAAAAATCTTTTTTTATTTTGTTTTAAAACATAATCAAATTATTCTTTGTTCTTTATCACCTTAAAACTTCTTTTATTGCTGATGTCCTCTTCATTTTTACTACCTTATCTTTGTCAAATTTTTATTTTTATTTATTATCATTGGATTTAGCTGTATTTATAAAAAGCATTGTATTTATCTATACTAAATGAATATCTTTGAAACTTGGTGCAAATTGTTGTTTTTACTTCATTGCTACAAAAAGCATTATTTTTTATAATTCTTTGAGAACTATTCTATAGTTCTTAAAAAGTTCTAGATTTGTATTTTTTATTCATTCACAATAAATAATAACTATGTTAAATACTAATCAAATATAGCTTATTGGCAAGTTTTATTATTCTTATATTTGTATCCTATAAGATACTATTCATGTTCAAAAGAATCATTTTTAATTATTTTATTTTTTACTAAAATCAATGTAAGATAATTAAACATATAGCCCTCAAAAATCATTAAAAAAGAGTAATTATAAATATGATTTATCCTGCAACAAAAGCTTATCCAAAATGTCAATACCATTTGCAATCGTAATTTAAGGAAGGCTAAATATGAGCAGTTCTACCAAATATTAATCAAATGTAAGAATGATCTTACTTATTTATACAATTTATACTTCAAAGTAGTGAGTATTGCATCTGTATATTATTATATGTTAGAATTTGTCAAATAATTTTAAAATTTTATTTTTTTTGTACATTTTCTATTTATTTTAATCAATGTCATTGTATAAAATTGTTTGAATTAAATATAGATTTTTTGATTTATTGATAGAGAGATGATTGGTGCTAGTTCTTTTAAACAACACACTCTACAAGATTGACAATATTGCTCTCCAATTCTACAATAAATACGTACTAACACTTATTTCTAGTACTTTTCTCTTCAAAATCATCTATAAATATTTTTTATTCAATTATCTTCTTTGTCATTATTATTATCATTATTATTACCAAAAAATTTAATTCCATCTTTAGTTTTATCTTTAAATTTTTTTATTATTGTCAAATTTCTTGTCATGTTTAATACTTGCATAATAGTTAATAATATATTTTTTAATTTTTTAATAAAACCAATGTAATAAATGAGAACAATGGTGCATTATTACAAAACACATTTCTAATAGTTTCTTTAAAAAAATATATTTATTATTCTTAATTAAAACTGAAAATTTAAATTTCTTGCCTAATGGCCAAATTTTGTTTTTATATTTATATATTTAAATCTAAAGTCTTTTTTAAATCTAATCTTCAATTTTTTTTTTCTTTTTTTCATATACAAAGAAAAGTATGTATTAATAATGCAATTAAAACTTAATTCTTATAGTAGATAAATGATTGTTGATCTAATCAAATTACAAGCACAAAAAAAAAAAAAAAAAAAAAAAAAAAAAAAAATTTAGAATTCACTATATAATCTTGTTAGTTTACAGATTTTTTCATTAAGAATTCATCATATTTTGTCTTTTGTTTAATATTAAAAGCCAAAAAATTTAACTTGTATTACTTTGCTAAAGCCTCTCTGTGAATACAAGACATGTAAGTATCTTTACTATAAGGTAAATTATTGATATGATTATAAATTTTAGGCAATCATAGTAAAGAAGAATTTAAATTTTAGTGTATCTTTCTTCAAATAACCTTCATTAATAATATGCATTATTATCTAAGCTTTATATGTTACAAACTACAAGATGGTGGGAAAAAAAATCTCTTTTGTCCTATACTTTATTTTAAATCTTAGCTTTTACTCCATGTAATAATTTAATAAATTGATCGAATTTTAATAATTGAATCTTCTCCAAAGAAATAATATCATCTTCTATTGGTTATAAAATATAAATATCTTCTTTAGCAAAACAGTCTGTTAAAGAATCTTTTACAAAACCATGTTTACAATTCTAGATTTTTGTTATTTTTATAATGTACAGCGTTTATTTGAGTTTGACTAAAATCTACTTCTAATTTAATGTCTTTTGCAAGAGTATTAATCACCACACTAGTTTCAATAATATCACTATAACTATCTAATGCTACTTGCTTATTTGTCAACATTGTTTTTTTAATCTTTAAATTAAACATTGTTAAAGGATTCTTCTTCTGTTAACTTTGCTTTTTAAATTCTCTACAAGACTACTAATAAAACTCACAACGTTTGTTTAATAAAATAATATTAAAAAAATCTACATGTAAGTTCTTTTTAGATGAATTCTCTATCTAATCAAATTTTTACTTTCTTTTTGCAAATATCACTATACTACTTTTAAATATGTTAACAACCAATTTGTTTACTACCAAGTTTTAAGCAATGTCCATTTATTGTCAATTAAATTTTTATTTGATTAGAATATATAAATTCTAATTATTTAAACATTATATTATTGTTTAAGTTATGTTTGTACATAATATTATTTTTAAAAAATATTTTTTATGAATATTTTATCTTGAATCTTTTATTATTTTAAAAAATTAAATAAAAAATATTTAATTTAAAATTTATATATGTGTAGATATTTATATATACACATGTTAATTTAATTTTGTATTCTTAAGTAAATTCTTAGGTAGCTTATAATAGTGCCATAAGATATAAGAGCTCCATTGAATTTGTATTAATCCATGCTTTCATTGGTATTTTATAATAAAAACATATTTATGTGAGATATTAGTGAAGGATTATTCTTTTGCAAATACTTGGATCTAAAAATTATGATTTTTTCAAGGAAAATAAAAGTATTTTATTGTTTGTAAAATATTTTACTTGACAAAAAATAGTGCATAATTGATTATTATTCTTTACTAAATTAACTTTATTTTAAAAATGTAACTTAAAAATAAGAATCATAGCACTGATAATATCATATTAATATGGCACCAACCTTTTAAGTGTTCCAGTCCACTTGCATGTGTTAAAGTGTTGTACTAAACATTTGCATTTAAATTATAAGACAAGAATGCTATTAATAAATAAATAACATCTTTGATTGCATACAAAGCAAATAGCATAACAATCAAAAAAGTTGGTTTTTTTTAACTATAGATATACCTATTTAAACAACCAATATTAATGAGAAAATTAAAAGATAGTAGAAGTGCCAAAATTGAATTAAAGACTTCAAACCTTTGAAATAAATTGTTAATAGTTTTTGGTCAAATCATAAAAAAAACATATAGACTGTTGTTTTTGTTGTAGTAGGTGTTCTTTGTGGGCAGAATGAAATAAGCTACATTAAAAATTCTACTGGCAAATTACTTGTACATCAACCTGATACATCCGAAACACCACACAAGAATTTGAAAATGGTTACCAACCTATTCAAATTCACATATCTAGGACTTCAGTCGTGAGAGCACCATGAAAATTTTGAAATTCCGTAGATTTTCTTTGTAAAGGCGGGTTCGTCTACCAATTCGGCACTGGACTTCAGAATTGTAGCCACACCGACAAATCGCCACCTCCAGTACCACTCAACAGAAGGTGGAACTGAACACTAAAATATTAACTTTTCGTGACCTCAATTATGTGCAGTCTGGAGGTATTATGGAGAATGCATGAAGCACATCGCTGAGCTCAAGTGTGGCGGATGTCACAGGGAATACCTCTATCAAATTTGCAAGAAAAGAACCGCTAAACCAGGCAGGGAAAAGAACGAACTTGCCAATGATACATGAGATAGGTTAATGCCACAATACAGCACATCTATAGCAAATCCATTCACAACTCCACGTGTATTATCATTGTAACTAACACCACATCGACTTGAGAGAACTTGTAAACAATATGTAGAAACTAATCAACAAAAGCAAAATTGATATAATTATGAGTGGAACATTACAAGTAGTTCTTGACTTGCGAATTAACTACCCAGGAAAATGTTGGTATAACCTCATCGTAGAATCCAGCATGGCGAATCACTGGCATATCACTTCCCACCTAGCAGGCTCTCAAAATGATTTTAAGTAAAGCACACAAGATGCAATTGCAGCAGAAGGCAGAATCAATGGATGTACAAAAATACATACGGAGTAACAAAAGACTACCTCACTATAGCAAGAATACTCCTCTAAGGAGATGACATGGAAAGACGAGATGTATAGACAAAGAACTGCATGTACAAGACCAAGAACAGTTCCGACTCAAGGGTAGCACTCCAGAATTTCCTGATTGAGAAAAAACCCATCACTTCGAAATTCATCCAGACTCGACATCTGGCTTGTTAGACCAAATAAGGGTCACGGACGGGTACGCTGCCTCGTCGAACGCCTACAGAGTGCTTCTGCTAGTGAACTTGGAATGTAAACAGCACAGAGCTCCAAATATCATCTTCCTTGAATGCTTTCCCCGGAATAGATGGAAATCATAGAGTCACTGGCTCCCGCAGCCAGCAACACGTTATACGAGTGGAAGTGCAACGAGCTAACTGGGCCGATTCTTTGGCCCAAGAAGCTGTTGTGGTAACGGACAGAACTCAGCAGTTCCCCACTTGAACTGAAGGTTTTTATCAACTGCTTGCCTGATCCTGTGGCAATCACGTCAGCGTACCGATGAACAGCTACGGAGGTGAGATTTCCCTTGTGCGCATCTACTTCAAGATAAGGTGCGCTCTTTCTCAAGTCAAGAAACTTAAGATCACCAACCTGTGATGCTGAGATTATCTGCAAAACAAACGAACTTGAGTCAAGGGACAAGCAGGAACATAAGTACAAAAAATACAAAAAAAACAGCTGATTGAAGTATAAGCTATAGACAGTCGTAGCATTAACCTCGTTGTTGCCACCTGCACAGTATGGAATGAGAAATTTAATAACCAAATAGAATCTCCACAGAATACCCTTCAAGAAATAGTGAAGAATGACCTTAGTGAAATCTGATCCAGGTTGGAAGTCGAGACCAACAACTTTCGTGGTGTGTGGTTTCATTGCACACACAAGCCTGCGTACACGTGAATGAGGGATTAGTGGCAAATAAAACAGTGGTATGGAACTAAATTTTCAACTTGGGCAAAAATGAATCACTTAAAGTAGAAATTTGGGGTACGCATTCCATTCAACTAAAACTGAAGCGCTTACATCTCGCGCGATCGTAGGTCATAAATCTTGACAGAGCCATCTCCAGATCCCGTAATCACATGTGCATGATGCGTCTGACAAGCAGCCTGACATGCAACCAGCTGTAAACTTAGTCTGCATACAAATAAAAAAATCGGGAAGGGACAGTCATCTTCGGCATAGAAAAAGCACAAATGAAAAAATTCCAGAATTCCCGATCATACTCGGACAGCCACTTACATTACTAGAGTATGCTGTATGCAAACTTTTCACTTTCCTACAAAGTACGAGGGTCACATCCAACTCACCAGAGCAGAAACATAGCTATCTGAGGGAGAAGGTATCCTAGAGACTAGCTGCTCACGATCAAGATCCCAAGCCATGATGAAGGAAATTTGACCTGATGCATACTGGAACACGCATAACACAACACAGACGATGGAGTAAAGGAATTGCCACTTTGATATGAATCAAGTTACTAAAGCAATCGTAACACTATCTGGCATAGAAGTGGGTTTTTGAACAATAAGTTCCAAAATAAAATAATGAAGACTCTGACTCATACCGAACTCATCCATCAAGACTCCATTTTTGCCCCTTATCTTCACCAGGACATAGAAAGTTAAGATAGGAATGGAGACACAAGTCATACCGAGCAAGCCAAAATACTACCAAAAGGAATGATTATGGAAGAGTTGGTGCGAAGAATTACCAGGTAACCTGTCATTTGTTGCCAATCTACCACAGCACTGACACCTCGGGCACCAGGTCTATGTCCTTGCACAGCCTGCCATGATGTTGCCAGGCGATGCTTATCCTTCTGTGTGTAGTCTTTCCACACCCTCACACTTCCATCGCCTGCAATAAAACGCAGTTGAAGGATGTAAAATCTTAGCACATCCAGGATGACGCTGAAAATTTATATCTCAACACTGAAAATCAAAAACATAAACGAAAACTGCATTCAAAAAAAAGAGAAGCACTATCGAGAAAAATTAAGTGGGAACGTGTTATAAATAAAAAAGAACAGCTCATACATATTCCTCAATTATTACAGTGAAAGATGGATGTTAGTAGCAAAGTCACTCGTTAGTGTCTACAACTAAAAAATTACTAAAAATCACAAGGAGTAAATGATCCAAAAGCAGCAGTAAACAATGCACCTGCTTAAAAAATCATAATTGAACCAAAAAACAACAAATAACTTACTTGAACCAACAAGTAGAAGGCTATCATCCAACTCATTCAGCAAGCAAAGCTTGGAAATCCCTTTGTCAGGGTTAATATGATTCTCAAAGGTGTTAATAACTTCATTTGCATCATAATCCCATATCCTGCAAAACCATGCCCAAAATGGCCCCATCACAAAGGTACACCAATCAACTGGAGTTGAGCCCTAGACATGGAAAACATATTCAAAGCTCATGAGCAATGAGATCGCTATTTATGCACTGCTGAAAAAGTATTCGAACTTAATTTATACCATTCAGTCAGGCCAAGCACTGCAATTAAGATCGGAGCAGAAGAATCGTCAAAAACGACTTATCTTCATGGACCCCATCTCCAGCACACAGTTGAATTTAATAAGGAGACATAAAGCAATTCTTCACATTGAAATCACTACATAAATTAACGCCACAAAAGTAGAAAACAGTACCTGATAGTCTCGTTCTCATCTGCACTACAGACCAAGGGTTTGAATGGATGCAGAAGCACTGCTTTAGTTCCGACATCGGATTGAGTATCCAAACTGCCAATCTGATCACTCACTTTACTCACACCTGCTCCAAATGTGACAAACCTCAACCAGCGTAAAAATACAAATTTAACTTCCACTATCTGTATTAACACGAAAACTGGGTTCTACAGCAATTTAGACTACAGAGAAAATATGATAAGACTAGATAAAACGCAATATAAAGGAGCTGAATTATTAATGTTCAAGGATAAAAATTTGGTCACACGCACATTTGACCCTCTGTAAACGAAAAGAAACGTTCATAACGTGCTAAGTTACTCACTTGAATGTTGACATCTTTCGATCCCTTTCAAAGCCAGTTTTTCTCTCATTTCCCGCCGAGCTATAATCTCCTCTTCATCGTCGTGCGAGGGTTCCAACAATGGTCGAGAAAAATGTCCACAACTCCACTTATAAATTGTTGACTCTGGCAACAAAGTGGCGATTGAAGCTGCATCCGGACTCACCGCTGAGAGCCCGGAAGTAGTCATCCCAGCTGCATCAGCTAGACCAGATGTCAGTGTGCTAAGAATTGGAGACGAGGGATAAGTGACAATATCACCAGCTATTCGTACTGCAGGTCTGGAAGCATCCCAAGCTCCAGCCAATGCTGCAGAAATATCCATAGATGCCACACGTCTAAGGCTGCTGGTAGAACCTGCAAGAAATGCCGGTCGAGTAGGTGGGCTGGGAGGAGGTGTTGTGATACGCCACGTGCTAGCAAGGGTACCTATCCAAAGTAACCACGAAAAAACATAAAAATGTGTTCTATCTGAAGGCCAGGTTATGAGGCAGAAAACAGCAATTTTTTCTCGAAAACAACAAACCTATCAAGGCAAAAGATGTTCTAAAAGTTGCTAACCTGAAGAAGAAGCCACCCAAGATGTAGACCTATGCAATACCCCAGCCATAGCCGGGGTAGGAGGAAGTGCGGATACAGATGGATTTCGCGGATAACCTACAACACCACCACCAGCCCTCGACGATACCATAACTTGAGCAGAATCAGCTCCACCTATCCTCAAAACCTTTCGACCCAGACTAGCCACACGAGGAAAAGAATCTCTAGCCAATGCATACGCAGCCATTATGCACTGCACATACATGTTGCATTCTTCAGATCGTTTCCATTGTCTGCTGCCCCCGTTGCTGGAAGCATTACCACCAGATTCTCCAAGTACCGGATTGTCAGACAAAGGAGAGTTTCCAGAAGAACCTGAAAACCAATCCACAATGAAGAGTTAAGTCACACTCACAAACAAAAAAGAGAAACACAAACACACACACAAAAAACTACCAAGCACCACAGAATTCATATATCTTCCAGATTCACATAACAGTTTGACCATCGTGGTGCCAGTAAAATATATCACATGTAATCCTTACTACCAAACTCCAATCATTAACACACTACAGAATTGTTGTCAAAGTTCCATGGCATGACCAGTACCTGGAGAGCCTGACAAAGACCCGCTACTCCGGACAATACGCATAACCGAACGGTAGGGCGTCCCTCCATCCAGAGTTTGAAGCCCCTGATCAGAATCTGATTGTAGACCAGCATAAGTGAATTGCGAAGAGTAAGGATACCCTGGATTTCTGTAGCCTGTTCCGTAAGGCACAACAGCTGAGTGGGATGGCGGTTTCAAATAAGCTGCAGCAGCCTGACGAAACATCCTATTGTGGCTGAATGCAAGCCGTGCTAGAGCTAAAATGAACACACAGCCCAACAACGTTGTGTATTAGTAACATATGTAATCAACAGGAGCCAAAAAGATCAACTGAATAATATTAAGAGGATTGCCACACAAAATGAAGACAAGTAATTGAGCATAAGACTTCGGTGTTATGAGATTCTACAGCTCATACCCTAATCTCAAGAACCAAGAACCCATTATTTCATGAACTTCAAGCCCACACAGAGGTCCTGAGAAAATGATGGACAACTGGACCAGAAATCAAGAAGATCAAGTCCTGACACGAATGTGGAGGATAAGCATCATTCAAAAATTCAAGAGATTCATACGATGCAGCTAGAGATAGAACTCTAAGAAACATAACCTAGCTGACACTTCAAGAACTAACGGATACGTAACACTCGATGTATTGAGGAAGTAACGAGTGTCTCAAATCTTTACTGCGCAATACATGTGTAGATGCTTTGAACCTCAGATGACACAAAAATGATTGTCTCACCTACAGCAAGCTCGGCTCGTACAAGTGGACTTCCATCCCACAACACCGTTAGTAGGAGATTTGCAATTCTTTGTTCCGCAGCTGACGTGTCTTCATCCATATCATTGTCAGCTCCTTCTGAAGAAGTTCCGTCCGCTCGAACTTTAAGAAGAGTCCCTAGCGCAAACACGGCCGCAGCACGAACCTGAAAGAAATAACGGCACAAGATCTTCATAAGTCCATTCACATCCACAATCCTAGAAGGTACTCGACCAGTTGTGCAGTATCCTGGGCAGGAATGCATGTCGCACTCGAGGAAAGAAAAGGCACTATCTTTGCTTTGTATTGAAATAATCTGCAAGAAGCTCCATAATAAAACAAGGAACGAACCGCAGGGAAGTGACCGCTTCACAGATCGAGCCATTTCCCTTCAAAACTTATTTGGTTAACGGCTGTCAGCGCTCACCTCAGGCTGCGGCTCAGAAAGAACCTTCCCAAGAATTGCTGGTGCATCATCATGCAATGCAATGGATACTCCCTCTACAACTCCATCCCAAAGCTTCCCCAGACACAGACAGAGCCACTGCAGAAGTTGGGGTTCAGTCTGTCCATCTAGAGCATTTGGTGCGGCTTGTATATGTGAGAGACAGATGCCGATTAGGCCAGCTTGTATACAAGCGTGCTGGCCCTGCTGGTGGCCGTCAACAATAACTGCCAGTACATATGCAGCCATGGCCCTTTGTTCCGCGTGAATGTCAGGATTCTCCAGAAAGTGGATGAAGTACGAGTGACCACCATCTTTGACAAGATCAACTTGACATGACTGCATTCCACATCATTTTTAAACCTCAGAAGCGTGTATCCTCCAAAGAAATCTCCAGTCCACAAAAGCAGACTTACCCTGTGGAAAGCTCAATACCCAGATCGTTGGGACTATTGACATACTACCGTCGCTTGCTAAGTAAACCTACCATTGCAATGTAGGGATTCAAACATGCGAAAGCAACATAAGGATTACAAAGGCACAAGGCACGACACTGATAAGCAGCCATTAGGATATTTTATTGATGCAAACGGGAAGAACTTCATGTCATGCAAGACCGAAAGGAAATTATCATAAATCGAAAAGAGTATTTAAGCAAAAATAATAATAAATAAATAAATAAATAAATAAAAACTCAGAATGAGGATGTTACCTTGTCAAGAGCTAAAATCTTCGTCCAGATAAACACAAGAATCTGCCGCAAATCAGTAGCTGTTGTTTGCAGCAGCTTAAGAACGTATGGAAATATTCCTACAGATAAAGCCTGACCAAACAAGAACACAACACCAAATTAGAATGATCTGTAATTCCCATTGGAACCAACATCTTAAAAGTCCCTCCAATAGAATGATCCAATCATAAAGAACAAATATATGCAGAGTGACTTCCTCATCTGAACTTTACATTAATTGAACTGATAAGACATCGGATTCACAATGAACAGGAATTAACAAAAAGACGCTAATTACCAAATCCACTGCCCAAGCCCCCATATCCAAGAACCGGCCCAAGAGCACCAGAGCACGAAATCTGTGAGATTGGCTGAGTAAAACCTGCAAAACCACGCAAGAAAGAACCTCTCGTGTTACAGGGCATAATCATTCTAACCGGATTACAGTTCACATTACTTTGGACTTCGATCACGTTGAAAATCAGAATTTCTGGTAAATTTTGATCTCATTATACAGCCTGGAATGAAAGTACAAGGGCAACCTCTTCAATACATACATATCATACAGTACATGTAGGCAAATAATAGCCAAATCCGGTTCGTATAATACTTAATGCTTTGCACAATAGGGAACATAGTCAACGACGCAAACTAAACCCTCCAAAAAACTCCTACATAGGTACCTGAATCTGAGTACTACTTATTGGCACAGTACTACATCACACTATACCTGCAGAACGATAGGGAGCTGCTCTGGTGGCTTCTTCCGCTCAGAACCATGGTCCAACCACACTTCAAAGGCTGTCAATTGCTCTGTGAAAAAAGGACTAGGCTGCAATAAGAAGGAAAAAACAGTAAGTAGTATCCAGAGAATGCTACTAGCATTCAAAAAAAAATTACATGGATAAAAACAAAGAAACATCAAGACAACAAAGAAGAAGGAAACAAATACGAATGTAAGAACACTCCATGTCAATGAGTCCCATAAGAGGTGCAACAGAAACTTCATAAATAAGCCCCATAACAGATGTAACCAGGATCTAGAGTGAAGCTTTAAGTTATTCTGAAATTATGTACACTGAGATGTGGCACACACATATATTCACAGGCTCGTTCATAACCTGTTCAACCGATACATGTGAGGATTGCAAGTCAATCAGATACCTGAAACTCAGCATTTGGATCATCCACCAATGCAGGCAACTGTGAAAGACAAATTTCAGCAGCCATATCCCATGCATGCCTGCAAAAGCAACACACAGAATGTGTTCTATCAGAGAAGATTCGGGTAGACGAAGCAATTTCATTCGTATTATAAATTAGGAAATTCTTCATAACCTAAACACAAAAAGACCGAGAGAGGTAAAGAGGAAAATATATTTCAAGAAAAGGGGGAATGAAAAGGAGGAAGCAAGAAAGTATGAGAGAACAAGCGTACCACATAGGGTGCTGATGTGTGGGAGGTAGCCGAGGATATGACACCGGGCAGCAGTTTGCAGCCCTCATGATGCGTTCAGCTAATAAGAAGTTACGAAACAAACTAGCCACAAGAAGATCTTGCCGAAACAAACGCTGAAATAGTTCTGCGTCGTCCAAGTGCAAGATGCTAACTGAGATCGTAATTATCACACCACATCCAAAATGACCATTTTATGTTCCAAGCTTTCAACTTTACGTTATACCTCTAACTTAAATTTTCAAACAAAAAAGATCCGAACATGAAAAACAACAGCTGACCTCGCGGCAGCACATTCCACGCAATTGTATCTGTTATAGCTGTGAATATCCAATTCAGCTCCCCCAAGGGAGTCTTCCGATCGTTTTGACGACCTGGTATTCTGTCTATTAGGTCGGAATCTAGTTGAAGTAAAGAACGTGGACAAAACCTGAAACAAGAAGAGCTTCAACTTAAAACCAACGTATGCACAAAACCGGAGTAATCGTTCAGGCGGCTCGGAACCTCAAAATTGCTTTCAACCTACTACAAAACTAACATATTCTAAAAATTTCGCCCAGAAAAACCATTTCACGAACCAAAATTAAGTCAAGACAAAAGAATTGCTCGAGAGCCAAGAATCATCAAGTTCCGAATGAAAAAAATTAAGAATTAAAAATAGTAATAATAATAATAAATAAATAAATAAATAAAACCTCTCAATACACTGATGCAATTCAAAATAGTGCTCTTTTGTTCTACAAGAAAGTCAATAAATAACCTAGATCACTAAGAAGGAACCTTTCAGAGTACGGCTCCACAAATTTTGAATATGAAAGTTACCATCTTAAAGCGATTTTGATTGGAGTCGTAAGACAGGACGTGAAGACATCAGCTGGCAGCTCACTATTCTGAGGAAGTGTTTCATTTGCTCCACAGGCGGCTAATAGTATGCATTCCTTCATTGCAGAAGTCAGGGAACCAGAAGAAGCACCTCCAGAACCCCACTCAGACCGCTGTTAAATTTCATACGAATGCACAAATTCAGTTTCTAAAAGCACGAGCTGGAATACACTACAAAGCCCTCGTACCCGAGAAATTCAACCTGAATTGAAGTGAGCAAATTCGATCATATCATTTATAAAACCACGACTCAAAAAGGTAGTAACCTCTTGTGGCATCACAAGTCACCCAGGTGACAAGACATTTCAGTCGAATCCTAAGATGCTCATCGCCAATGAAATAGAGAGTGCGTACCTCGCAGAATGCATTCACAATCATGCCAGCCGCTGAGCAATCGAATACATATATAGATGGATTTCCAAGCCACAATTCCAAGTCGTAGACCGAAAGTGGAATGTACTGAGTAAAATTCTGCAGGAAGGATGACACAAATTTAGACGCTCAAGACAAGAGCTCTTCTTTTGTCCTTGAAAAGAATGAGGAGTGGTCTTTAGTACAAAGTACATGGATTGATGCAAATCCTGTCGCAAAAGTTATTGCAGAAAAGCTTAACTCGACATCACCATCCACGATCTCTCTAGAAAACAACTCATCGGCTTTCACACGATGTGGAAAACTTGGTATACAATGCAGCGCACTTCCTTCAAAATGAAGACCAGCGTGTGAGAGCTTAGGTAGTGACCTCTCCTAACACCATTACATGTTTGAATAATGCCTACAAGCCCTAAATGTTGACACACAGTCTTCGGGCACTCCATCCAAGACGACAAAAGCAAGAGGAAAGGATACCAACCTTGTTGAACACCCAAATTTCTCCATTAACCGTTGGTTTTGGGACACCATGGCCGTTGTAATGAAATAGAACCCTTTCACCCTTCGCATTTTTTCGACAACTTAGACACAGCTTTTTTACATCTTCAACGGTGGGATCTAAACTGACCTTATATCGAGCCTGCAGCACAGCAAAAGATAAGGAATAAAATGGCTTCTGTCGGACAAGCAATGAACATCAAGGACGCCTCAATCAACATAACTATAACCAGCGCAGTTTCCGTTACTGATAATGCAGAAATAATGATTGTAATAAAGACCACGAAGAACAGCACAAACATAAAACTTGTTTGGTACAAGTGCTACTAGAGCTACCGAATCGGCAAATACAGGAGTGGTCATCTTGTCAGTGGCGCACACGTTACATCAACAAAGTCGAATAATATGGAATAGGCATGAAATGTAAAGACTTTCATCGACCAACACAATCCGTTTGATACAACGTATTCACGAAAAGGCTTACTAATTTCAAACATCGACAGATACAGTCCTTGGCTTCTAAGGACTTAGTCCGGAGACACCTGTGTGGATTTGATAAGAACATAAGAGTTAAAACTGGAAGCAGAGATATCAAAGAACACAACTTACCCTGGGTTGCCAACGCTCGTACTGAGTTTGTAGGTTTTTTGCTATTGCTTCTAAAGCTTTGACAGATGCAGTTGAGAATGGATCTGTCATGAAAAGAGATGAGTTTGAAGATAATCTTCTGCAACAATTCTGTTCGTATTCGAAAAAGTTTCAAGCAACAAAAAGACAACCAAAAGTATGCACCCTACAACTGTAGGAACATAAGGGATAGTTATCATATGATTGTTCAAAGATCATGAAACATCGAAATTTGCCCAAAATCCAAAGATTCATCAAGATAACATGAATGTGATCGAAAAATCCTACTTACCTATCCAGCATTCCAATCGGGCGCATGGCGATATTTTGATGACATCTGGCGGGTCCACCCCAATGTTTAAGCACATACATAACGCCACCCATCCTGTTTTCATCTGCAGTTCAACACACATGATAAAGAATACAATCTGTCAATTACAACAAAAGCCCACACAGCAGCTTCGAAGCTTTGACATCTAACCGATGGCTGAAGAGTATCACTTGAAGATGGCAGCCACAGAGCGTACATTTGGCTGAGAAAACTCATCGTCCACCAAATATTACAAACATTCAATTCACAGCCCTTACCATGAAATCCCCAAAAATATAAATACATGGGTTACGAAAAATACATTGATCATTCGGGCAAGATGGGGGGAAACAATACAAATCACTCGCAATTGTTGTGAGCTTCATTGAAGCAATTCATACAAGCAACGGAAATCATCGCCATTGAATCGAGTAAGATTCTTACTCTATCCTTCATCCGCCATCTTGAAACAACTCCAGGTTCAGACACCGCCACAGTAGCTTCATGAGCATCATGCCGCAAGTCACAAAGGTACGAAGTGTTGGGAAGAAACGTTGCCCCAGACTCATTAGTGCAGCTACTGTCTTCTTCTGCTGCTGCAAGGTGATGCGCATCCTCGACCTGGTTCCTCCTACTCAAATCATCTATCAGCTCTAGAGGGAGGTTTGAAGCAAGATGCGACAAACCAGGTGGACTTAAGTGTCCTCCTCCCATACTATTCATGGACCGCTGCCTACAAAGTACTATATCACCCAACGCCATGTTATTTTGGTTGAAAACACCATATCACACTTCTTGCGCATCTACGTCGGACTTTCAAATTGTTCGTCGCATGTGCCACGTCCCAAAAGCTCAAAGCTATGCCTCCACTTCTCTGGGCAGCGAAACGGATGAGAACCCTGAGCTCCTCTGGAAAGGTCATTCAACTCGCTGAGAAGGACTAGGAGTGCCTACAGCATTTCCATTCCGTGAATACTAGTCTTCTTACCGAGAAACCGTGAAATCAGGCGGGCGCCATGGTACAAACGAACAGACGAGACAAGGCGCCCGTAGCTCTAGAGGTTCAAACATTTCTCCGTTCCAGCATTAGAGATTATCACTCTCTCCCCACTCAGCTTGATTACAGCTCCTTGGCAAAAGTGAGATTCTCCGGGGTGGGACCAGGCAGTTCGAATTAACAGCTACCAAGATGAACAATTGTTACTTAAATAAATTTTTAAAACGAAAAAAGCTAAAATAACTAAACTATTAGAAATGAACAACTACAAACTACTGTCGAATCATGCAACAGCACCACTCCAAACAACTAGCCAACATTTGATTACGACCAGAGTGAATGCAGGATTGTTACGATTACCAAACACAAACCACTGAAGGGGTCTAAAATTCTATATTCTAAGACGACCCTCGATCCGCAACAGCTTCCAACAACAGATTCAGATGCCGAAACCGCAATTACTGAACTGCAACCCCCTACGACTCAAAACATCCAAACACGCCCCTACGCAACCCGGAATGCAAGCTCACAAAGGAAGATTGCAATAGCACTATTCCTCCGTTAGCGTCAACCACACAAAAACCCGAAACTACTTCAGGAAAACACGTGGAAACAAAGATGAATTCCTCGACCTCCAGGAGAAGACCACACTTACTACACCTGCCTTTCAAATTCTAGGGCAAACGCATCAAAATCGGAGACGCAACACTACGGCCCCTTCGACTACCCTTGGAACCCTCTCGTAAATCATCCTTCACTCACCACACCCTCGCCCAATCACAAACTAGACCTCCGCTGAAGCTCAAACACGACTGCCAGCCCCAGCTCCCCTCACCTGGCCACTGCGACCACAGACACAAGGAAATCACGTGTATACTCGAGCAAATCCCGTACAACGAAAACCTGCTAAACTTCCGCGTAAGCAGCCATGCGAAACGAACGAAGCTGAGAGACGACGCGGCGAGACGAGCAGAGTACGAGGCTTCAGGGTTTGGAAGCGCAGAGGTTTGGAGGCACCATAGCCAGACCACACACAGGCGAGGAAGAGAGATTCAGTTCTGGTGCTTGAAAGGGAGCGGGGGAGGGAGGGAGGGCGAGCAGCAGAGGGAGGCGGAGGAGGACCTGCCCTCCCTCCCGTCACCACAGCCAACACGTCGACGGCACTATGCGACTGCCGTTGACGCCAGAGGACTGCGCCGTCGGGAAGGCCACGGTGACCCAATCACCCGCAAGAAGGTTCCATCTGCGGCAACCAAACACCGACACCCGTTGGGCTACGTGACGCCAACGCTCGTCCGCGTCATGACGCGTACTCGCGGCTGTCTGGACGGCTGCTTGGCGGCCTGCCGTCTCTTTAGCCAGTGAGCGAGTGGCTTGGTCGAAGCTTCTCTAGTAGAATTTCATTAGTTAATTAAGGGAATGCTAAATAGAACCAGGTGATTACTAAATCGACCTACTTAATAATTAAGCTGAAAAATATGGTAATCACAATGAATGTGGTTGGTTTTCATTGGTTTTGGATCCAATAATGGAGAAATAAATTTAGAGGTCATTTATTATTTATTTTTTTATGATAGTTAAGTTAAGTTGGTCAATTTAGTAAGAGCTTGGGTCTATTTGGGTCTATTTGGGTCTATTTAACATTCCCCTTAATTGATGGGCCTAATTAATATCCTCTGTTTTCCCAACTCACATGCCATCAATAAATGCAAGGGCACATTTTGCAATTTCAATGTGCTTATTACAAACAGACCCACTACATATATATATATATATATATATATATATATATGTTGTATTTTATATTTAATATCATAATAATATATATTAGGATGCATAATAATAAAATATTTTATGTATCTATATTAGATTTAGAACATTTAGGTGTTAGTTCAATTAATATGTTCTTTCTAACATCTTTTCTTAGCATTCATAGTTTTTTAGGACTTCATTTTTATATATCAAAACTAAAAATATAATATTCATATTATGGTCTATGAGTCATAGACAAGAATCATAACAAAACTCTTAAGAAGCAACACACTCTTGTGATATTAAAATGATAAAATTAGACAAATCAAAAATAGATATATGATGGAAATTAAGATAACTATTACCAGATACAAAAAAACTATAGATCCTTTAGTTAAGACAAGAACAAAAGAAAGGCATTGACAAGAGTGAGTAAGACCTTACTTTTATCTTTATATATACTATCCAATTAAAGAGCTATGTGGTAAAGTTTTATACATCATGCAATATGTGTGTAACTTGGAAGATACATGTTGAACTTACAAACTAAGTATTTTAAGTATATAATACATGACGAATTTGGTGGCCACGTTTTTAACCTACCAAATTCTTACAAACACTTCAAAAGTCAATCTTCTAGCTTTGAAGCTTATATAAATCTTTTCTATAAGATATTATCAAATTTACTTATTTTTACTTCTACCTAATTTCTCAAATTGTTGTAATTATTAATGTCAATGATGAGATATGTGACTATACTTTTCCTTCTAAAGACAAATTCTATGCAAAGTAAAGATTTTATGTTGAGGAATTCCAAATTGCAATAAATTTTATTAGCCATACATTTTGATCTTTATTCTCTTTGAAGGTAGATAATAGGTCTTCTCAACTATTGTTAATGTTTCATACCAAGGCAACAAGACTACCTTACTATTTGATTATTTTTTAGGCTTTTATAATTTTATTTAAATAAAAAATTAAAATACCATCAAAAATGGTTCTTACCTTCAAAAATATTGTTAAATATTAATGATCTCTTTCAAGATTGTGATACCAAATAAATAATATTTTCCATCTATTTAAATAAAAATACATCATTCTTAAGAATCTTTATCTCTTTTTTGACTTCTTAAAGGTTGTAAAAATCTCAATGTAAAAAAAGATATTGAGTTAAATCTATTGATTATTAATCCTTCATCTCTTTAATGCTACAAATACACAAAAACCACAAACAAAGACAAAAGATAGAATATAATCTTTATTGAACATATTTTTTTATATAATAAAAAAACATTTCTTCTTCCTATTGGTTTTGATGGATGTTATTGATGAAATGAATCAACTTTTTCTATTGCATTTGTAACATTCTTAGATGAATCCTATGAAAATTTATTAATGTCATAACTATGCCAACATATAAGATATTCCAATCTATTTCTACGATGCTTTAAATCTAACACTGCATTTACCTCAAATTATTAATTATTATCTGCTTTTTTTAAAGAATATTATATTTGTATTCTTCTTGATATATTCTTTATTTAAAATGGCTCAAGAAAAAATATACAAAATATAAGATAGAACTTTATAGACTCTAATAAGTATAATTAAAATACAATTGTTAGATTTGTTTAAAACTAAGAAATGGTTAGAATCTACAATAATTTAATTTGTTAGAAGGACAAGTACTTTTGATATTACAATACAAAAACCATACCATTACCAACCAAGAATTAAGATTGGTCCTTGCAATAGACATTTGAATTTTTATTTTTTTATTTATGCACTTTACTTGATTATGCTTTTATTATTGCATATAGCTTTCATAAATATTTTTTCAAATCTTTTGCAACTTAAAATTATCAATTTTTCAAAAATAAAAAGTATCAAATAATAAATTTTAATCATAATTAATATAAGAAGATAATTCTTAATTAAAATATTGTATCTTATTATAATACAAAACTTTGTCAATAACAAAAGAGTTGTTTAATCATATTAATGATAGTTAATAGCATACCACAGCTATTGCTCCAATACTTAATTCATCTATTTTATTTGTCTATTAGTTTGAGAATAAAAAATCAAAGATAGTTTTATGTCCACCTTCAAAATCCTAAAAAGAGTTTTTCAAAATGTAGATACTAATTAAGTTTATGTAATTGACATAATATTTATTGGAAATCCATGAAAGCAATAAATAATATAAATAAACAATCTAGTTATTTCTTTACATAAGATAGTTTTTGTGCAAGGTAAAAAAATGCCATCTTAGTGAAATAATTTATTATTACAATTATAGAGTTATAATAGCTTAAGATATAAAGATCCATGATGAAACCCATAAAAATAAATTGCCATTGTTGTTTTGATATAAGTAGTGGTTAAAAAATTTTGCATGGTCAATAAAGAGGAGTATTGATCTTGAACAAATATCATATGATTATAAAAGCTTTTAATTGCCTTCCAAATTTGAGAACACCAAAAATCTTTTGAGGTTCATTCTAATATCTTGTTGTCTCTAAAATATCTTATAATTAGAAAATCATGAAGAATTTAAAAAATAAATAATTATGTTTTGTCTTTTAGAATATATATACATCTTTTAAAATAGAGAAGATTTTTTTGAATTCAAAATTAGAAATATCATGCAATATTAAAGAATTATTCTTAATATCATTTATAAGAATATTTGAAATCATATTTAATTTTATTTGAATAAAAAATATTAATTTTATTTCTTAAAGATGAAATTTCTTTAGTTTCAAAAGAAATATATGTTATTTATCAAAAGATTTTTTTTTATTTTGATATAAGATAAGAATTTTTGAATATGGTACTTGATAAGTATTTTTAATTTTTTGGCTAATAGAAAATATTAAATACATATCCTATTAAAAACATGTTTTAATAGGCTTGGCAATGATTCAAAATGTAAGTTGACATAAAATAATCAAAGTTCTTGTATTAATGGATACTAGACTTAAAGTGCCTTCTACATAATCATGTCATTCTTAAAATTAATTTATAATTTCAATAAGCTCTTTATTGTGGATATTGAAACTAATCATGGCTACTAAAAAAAATTCTTCAATAAAAAGCTATAGCATGAAGTATATCATTTGTTTCTAATTGCTACAACATTATGTCCAAAACAAAAATTTAATGCATCTATTTCTATAAATAATATCTTAAAAAATTCAATACAATATTAAATTATTTTTAGAATAAAAGATTATCTTTAAAGCTTCAAATACTGCTTCAACTTCTTTAATCTATCTAAGTTTTTCTTTATAAGTCAAACATGACGTAGAGGTATAATTTGAAATTTTAATCTTAATAAAGATTCAATAGTAATTAATTAAATTTAAAAAAATATAAGAGATATTTTAATATTATAAAAATCTTCCAATTTACATCTATAAATAAAGTTTGATTGTATAAGACTTATGATTTTTCTTTGATTAGCAAAAGACTTTGTTTTTCAATAGAAAAATTGAGATTACAAGAAATCTAATTTATCCAATAGTTATATTTTTATAATCATAATAAAAGCCTATATTAAATGTATAAGAGATAAATTTAATGATATTAAATATCATTAATCTATAATGATCATTTGTTCCTACTTACACAGGGATAATTTCATGGATAATTTCATGGATAATTTCTTTAGAAGATAAAAAATGGCCTTCTATAACTTCTATATAAACAAACTTTGATTTCTTTACTAAGAGTATATTATTTCTTTTAATACATTCCTTTTCTTTAAAAATATGTTAAGGCTCATAAGTCTTTATTGATTTCATTAGCAATCATGATCCTTATTTTGTGGTTACGTTGCTTCATTGGATAATGTTAAGCAATAGAATTTAATTCTCCACAATATAAGCACAATCTTTCTTATGATGTTAAATCACTTCTTACTTAGTAAGAAGTTTAAAATATATTACATCAATTTATAAAGGTTCCAAACTTAATAAAAAAAGTTTGTAAAAACTTATAATATGTTGCAATAACTTGTTTCATTCTTCTTAAATCAAATCTTTGTTCTTGGTATTTAAAAAAAATAAAAAATAAAAAAATGTATATATTGGCTTGAATAATAAAAAAATTTAATGAGTATTTTTTTAACATCATTAATAATGAATTTTTGAAACTATCTTTTAATCTACTTCATAATTAGTTAAAAAAGGTTTTATTGTTTCAATCTATATTATATGCAAAGCATTAGAATATTATAGCATTTTTTGAAGATTTTTTGATTTTTATCAAATAAAAAAAAGTTTTTTTCTTTGGCTACTTTCTTTCAATTATTCTCTCCAAATATAACTATA